TAAAAAGACTATGCAGCACATATATGTATAACATATATTTCTTAGTTTAGGGGTCTCCAACCTTGGCAACTTTAATTCTGGCAGACTTCAACTCCCAGAATTCCCCAGCCAGCAAAGCAAAGCTGGTTGGGGAATTCTGGGAGTTGAAGTCTTCCAGGCTTAAAATTGCCAAGGTTGGAGACCTCTGTCTTAATTAATACCCTGTCTTTTGTTTAAAAAGACAGCATATATATAGTACTCCCTCTTTCCTTTTTCCTTCACAACAACTATGTGAGGTTGGCTGGGGAGAGAGAGAGAGACTGGGGAAGATCTGATTTAAAAAGAAACCAACCACATCTATGTCAAGGTGGTATTTAGCTGGTTTGCATCGGTTCTCCCGAACCAATGGCAGAAATTTTGCCCGGTTCGGCAAACCGGTAGCGATGGCCAGCTGGCTACGCCCCTGAACCTGTACCCCCGTCGCCGGTTGCTCACCCTGCCATCTGGTCGCCTCTCGCTTGCGCTGACTCTTTGCACACCGGCTCTCAAAAAAGCCGGTGGCTGGCTGCAGGCCGCTGAAAAATTCTCTGGTTGGTGAAAAAAACTGACTTGCAAGGCAATGGGATGCACATGTGCGAAGAAGATAGCGGCGACGCCAGCTGCTTTTTTGCCAACCAGAGGATTTTTCAGTGGCCTGTGGCCAGCCACTGACTCTTTGAGAGCCGGTATGCAAAGAGGCGGTGGCTGGGAGGCTTCTTTGCCAGCCAGCCGCTTCCCAGTAGTGGTGGATGGCTGGAATCCACCGAAAACTCCAGTCAGCTTGCCTTCCAGACTGGACCAGCTGCCGTGGAAAGTAAGCAACCGAAGAGGTAGTGGTGTGGGAGGAAACGGGGAAATGGGGGTGACTAGTGAAGGGAGGGTGAGGGTAGCTAGGGAAAAATCCTAAAAACTTTCCTACCTTTTCCTGTGGGCATGGCTCGGTTGAGGGAATGTGTCTGAGTGGCCATGGGCATGAGTGATGTCAAGTTGGCCTAACCCTAACCCTTATATAAAACAGGGCTAGAAGACTACAACAAATTATGTATTCTGGAAAATGCCATTAGATTAAACGTTTATTTTGTAATTAACAGAGGGTTACAACATTTTTATCTTGTAAATAAGCTAGAGGTTGTAAAAATATTGCATGCAATAAAAACACTTGCTTTGAGCTGTAAGAGGGCAGTGATTAAGGAAAAAATAGTATTATATTAAATGTACATAAAATCAACTGTTTTAATAGCATTTCTAAACTCCTAAATGTTGTTTTCATACAGGTTTCCTTCCAAAGCAGGAAGCTGGACAAGAGAAAAAGCTTTGCATATAGGACTTGTAGTTTCCACAACTGTCATTTCCAAAATGACATCATCAGGTGGCTATTGCCATTTTGTACTAGAGTCTGGGCATCTAATGCAAGTAAGTAAACTGCAGCATTTGTGTAAAGATATTAGGCATTGTCAGCATTTCCCCCATTTTTCTGACTGCACTGACATTCTCCTGACAGTGTTTTGCTAATCAGGGTTATATAGGGTGAGGCTGGAGTTTGTGCAACTGACTTACAAAGCTCTTAAACATTAGTCGTCTTTCAGGGTATTTACAGCTTCAGAACCAGCCATCCTTAGTCAATACTCTGATTGAAGCACATTTACTATATTTAAATATTTTGAAAGGTGTGGAGGGAGAAGAACTTTTCTGTTATTAAATTTCCCTTGGAAATCTTTTTTAATCAGGCTTTATCCAACATCCAAAGTTCCCCCAATGTCCGGGATACCCTTCAACCAGAAATACTGTATATTCTCCCATATATTCCTAGCATTTCCTAAACAATTGAAATCATTATTCCAAGGAATCTTTAGCCTCAGCTGATCTGATCTGTGGATATCTATCTTAGTCTGTTTAGCCATCTTGTTACTTTAATTATTTTTATTCAGTTTTGTTCTATACTTTCTGTTTGACATCACATTTTATTCCTTATCTTGATGTACATCGTCCAATCTTTGAGATTGGGGGAGTTTATAATACTGTAAACAAACAATTACACCACCATAAATCCAGAAATTCTCTCAACTGCATCTCTATTTTCTGCTTGGAATGGGAAGGGATCGATTTACATTTGAAATCTGCCATGACTTGGAAAATGTCTGGACTAGCCCTTACAGTATTTTGGCAAGATTTTTCCAAAGTAGTTTGCCATTGCCTTCTTCCTGGGGCAGACAGAGTGTGACTGGCCCAAGCTATTCCAGTTGGATTCATTGCCTAAGGCAAGACTAGAACCCAGGCATCCAATTTCTAGCACAATGCCTTAACTGCTACATCAACTGACTGTCTCCACTCTCATTAATGGCTTGCAGATTGAAGTAGGACAGACTACATGTTGTGAATATGCTTGCTTGTTTCTGTCTCTTCCTGCCATCTGGCACTACAAGATGGTTAAATTTCTAATGCACTATGCAGAATATCTAAGAGGATCACTCCACTAATCAGAATTGTTTGTATTTTTTCAGCAAATAATTTTTGTAACCAATCTTGTAATTCAAATTTTTTTAAAGTATTTTTGTGCTTGTTGACAGTGAAGAGAAAAGAAGGAAAGAAGCAGCATCTAGGTTTGTATGGTGACCTGGATTCAAAGGGCAATGGGGATCAGAGCACATCCAGATATGCTTGTTATACTTGTCAGCAACTCCTTAAGTCAAAGATATCTTTTCCTGGATAATAATAGCCATGTGAGCCTAGAAAGGAGTAAAGAAATCACAAATAGATGTGGTATGAGCCCACTCCTGTGTGCGTATCACTTTCTTCTCCATTATATCCAGGTTGCTGCAAAGTCTTAGTAGCTACTGCCTACTTGTGTTAGATAAGATTGTTCCTCCTGAAGATGCTTTTCTAAAATAACAAAGTAGTGCCTTTTTTACATAGATAATCGTTACAGAGATAGATAAGCATGTAAACATCAAAGAGGGATAAGCAGCTTCTGAACCCAAAAAGTATTTAGCTCTCACCTGGAAACTGAGTGACTGGTTGGACTGGATAAGGATTTCGCTGCTGTTGCTGAAAGTGCTGCCGAGGCAAATGTGACTGTTGCTGTAAATGCTAGAAAAGCAAAAGAAAAGGGGTTAAGAAGGGAAAGTTGCCCATTGGGTTGCTACGACAGCCAATAGCAGAGCACTGATACTGTTCCTTTACTAGAAAGGACTCTCCAAAGATAAGTGCTTATGTGGAGTGAGTGAGCAGTAGATGGCCTTGCATAGATCAAAGAGTTTAATTCTATTCCAATATTCTATTTTGTATGCTGGCTGCAAACCAGCCACCCATGGGAGTATCTCTGCTATCATTATTAAGCAGCTCCTGGCAGCTTATAACCAGCTGTTATCTTGCTTGTATGTATCCTTTTTATGTTATGCTGTAGTAGGAGAAGAGCAGGCACAGTTGGGGGGCAGAGTTAAACATGTCATCAGCTTAGAATCCTTACGTTGCTACAAATGATCCAAATCCACACCTCCTTTAAATCCCTAGCTAGTGCCAATTAAGTGCTGACAGTTAGTTGACTAGATTCTTGTGCACAGTCTTGATTAAATTTTACGTGCTACAATTTCATATTTGGTCCTGACCTTTTGTGCCTGACACATTCTTTTCAATCTGTTTATTTTAACTAATAATTAAGCTTAAAATTCCTTTGTTTACTGGTGTGTTTATTGTCTCCGGATCCAAAAGAATCAATTGCCAGGACAAGGGATCACTGCCCTGACATTTGGCAAAACAACTCATAACTACATTTAGAGGCACACTTTATAAGCTGCATGAAAAGTACTTTGACAGATTTCAAAACGTATCTATATTCAATTGCTGTACTGAATATTTGCTTATTAATGATTGTAATTTTTCTTTTAGAGCAAGTGGTTCCTGTTGGTGTACAATATATCAAGCAATGTCTTGCAATGCCCCCAACCTCCAGGGAATTTGAATATATTAATGCAATTGAATGTAGATACATTAAACAAACTGGCACTGAAAGTGTTTTTTCTTATATGAAAATATTGATTTAAAGTTTTCCATCCTTCTTCTTTGGACTCTATTACTTTAAACCAGAGGTGGCAAACTATGGCTGCATTATGACTTGTGGACAGGGGTGAGATTCAGCCGGTACAGACCAGTTTGGGTGAACCGGTAGCCCCGCCCACTCGCCCCTGTGCTAGTCTGTCCTATATTTCCTTTGTTTGAAACCCAGTTGATAGGCACGGTACAGCAGACTGCCGTACCTCAGCTGTTTTACTCAGTAGGGCTGTGGCAGAAGTTTTAGAGCTGTTTTCAAATGCACTGGGCACAGACATTTCCACCCACTTTTATTTGGGGCGGGTGTCTTATACTCTGAAAAATACAGGACATTATAGTCACAACTATTGGAATCAAGGCACTGCCATTTTAAGAACGTTATGTTTCTGATCTGATTTCTCAAAAGCGCTTCAAAGAAGTATGAATCTGTATTTAGATCTGAATATAAAAAGAAGCAATTGCAAACAGCAGCCATGTGATCCTAGGAAAACATAGAACTACAGGCAATTCTTAACTTACGACAATTGAGCCCAACACTCAAGTGAAATATTTGTTAAGTGAATTTTGCCCCATTTTACGAACTTTCTTGCTACAGCTGTTAAGTGAATCACTGCAGTTTTTATATTAGTAACACGGTTGTTAAGTGAATCTGTCTTCCTCATTGACTTTGCTTGTCAAAGATGATCACATGACCCCAGGATACTGTAACCATCATAAATATGAGCCAGTTGCCAAGTGTCCGAATTTTGATCACATGACCATGGGAATGCTGCAACGGTATGTGAAAAACGGTCTTAAGTCACTTTTTCAGTGCTGTTGTAACTTTGAATGGTCACTGAACTAACTGTTGTAAGTTGAGGAATACCTGTACTTTAATTCTGCCTGTGTCAAAGGAACTTTTGAGATAGAATTCAAAGTACTGTAGAACCCCAATGTTGTCAGTGTTGGAAAGGAATAGAATTAGAATAGAATAGAAAGAGCAGAGCTGGAAGGGACCTTGGAGGTCTTCTAGTCCAGCCCCCTACTCAAGCAGGAGAACCTAAACCATCTCAAACAAATGACTGTCCAGTCTCTTCTTGAAAACCTCCAATGATGGAGTGCCCACTGTTAGGAAGTTTCTCCTCAATTCCAGGTTGCTTCTCTCCTTGGTTAGTTTCCAACCATGATTTCTTGTCCTGTCCTCTGGTGCTTTGGAGAATAATTTGACCTCCTCTTCCTTGTGGCAGCCCCTCAAATATTGGAATACTGCTACACCCCTAATTCTTTTCTTTAGACTAATATTTAAGATATGTAGCAAAATGATATACATTACTTGTTCTGCCAAGATCTGCTGCTGCTGCCGTTGCTCCCTTAGAAGAAACTGTTGCTTCTGCTGCTCCATCATATGGAGTTGGGCCCTTTGCTCAATCAGCATCTGCTTCATAATGGCTGCTTGAGGTTGGTTGCTCAAGAAATTGGCATTGCCAGGATTTGTGCCCACATTACTGGGTCCTGAAGGTACAGCGGGCTGCATGGGACCTGTGGATCGAGACAATGCCACGGTGTGCTGGTCCTAAACAATGAAATATATAAAAGTATAAGTTAGATAACATGCAGGCATACAATACATTAAAAAAAACAATATATTAAACATTCTCCTTTGCAAAAATTAGAATAAAAAGGAAGGGAACAGAAAACGGAAGGAGCAATGCCAGAGTCAGTCAACAACTTAGTGCTCTCCCTCTAACTTGGAATAACTATTTACCTAAATCCCAGTCAGTATCCCATTGCATTAAGTTCCATGTTTGATATCAAAAAAGACCTGAGAGAGTCCCCCAGGAATTATAAAATCTGGACATCATTATAGAAAATATTTTCTGCCACAAATCTCTGATGGTATAAACTCATGAAATAGGGTCTTTCCAAAAGATTTGACTAGATAAGAGACCAGGTAGTATAAGGTTTAGTGCAATGTTTTGAATTAAACTTGGAAGTGTTAGGAACTGGTAAAACCTCTGTAATTAAAAAAGTTGCATGCTATGGAAAAACAACTTTAGCAAAACCGGTTGCTGCAATGTTTTGGATTTTAAAAATTTGTGAACACTTGCATTAACCACTTTGATAACAGTTTTGCAAAATACAGAATGTGTGTCAAATTTGGTGAATTTTTCAACCACTTTCTGTATTGGCAGAACATTACAAGGCAAAGTACATTATATTCTCAATTTCCCTCTTTTTTAATTACATCAATAAGTGTCAATCAACGGGAAAGAAAATTTCTTATACATAATCTCATAAAATCAGTCTTCACAAGTTGTTAGTGATGATGAGCACAATAACAGATAAAGTGTTCAGCACAGGCAGAGTAAAGTCCAAAAAACTAGAAACATGGTCAGAATTAAAAAAAAGGGCAGGACAAAGGGATTAAGAGGTAAATCTGAAATTATATATCAACAGCTTTCAGATTCAGATACAGGAATTTGGATATCTACCTAAATTTTGATTTGTTTTTCCTGCCTTGGATTTATTAAATGTAAATAGGTTAATCATGACTTTCTCCAGTATTCTCCCTCTCTCTTAAATAAATCAAAATAAAATACAGGCAGGATATATATGAGGAATGGCACAGAGGTTGGATTAAAAACAGTGATAATCACTTGCAAGCAAAGCTCAGTTTTCTTTTGTAAGTTCTGGATGTCAGTCCAGTAAATTTAATATTAATTGGTGCAATCATTGTGAATGAGTGAGCGGATGCTGTGGCAAAACAGTATCAGATAGTTTTTCTTCCTATCTATATAATCAGTCTCCGTAGTCTTATCATAATCATCTCTAGGTAAGATAAGGTTGATGAAAAGGGCTTCAGCACAGCAAGTCGCTGAGGGAATGGCTATTATTATGATACTTTTCCAATTAAAGGTATAGCTGCAAAATCTTATCCTACTAGGTAAGTTATCTTTCAAAAAAAATTCCACAGTGTTTCATGATGATTAGAAGAAACTAACTAAAAGTTAGTTTATAAACTTCCAATGAGATTTTAAAAAGACTGTTTTTAAACTTCCAATGAGATTTAAATAGCGTAAGCTTGTTATGACTGAATGCAGGATTCAAGAAAGTAATCCTTATGAAAAATATCCTTGTGAGTGCTTGTCGCTTATCTCAAACCAACATATCATGTATACCTGCAGACTTTGGCCAGAAAACTCCTAAGAGGGGACTGAAATAAATCTTTATAGCAAACCAGTTCATCAGCACTTTGACCAATAGCAATGATCACACAGCAAAGATGCATAACAGGAAGTTAGAGCTTAATTAGCAAGAGAAAATCAGAGGAAGAGATGTGCCTTTTAAAAACATATTCAACATGGCATTTTCTCTTTTGCCCTGTAAGGTTCAAGTGGAGCTTGAGAGGCATCTATTGCAGCTCATAAAGCTCTAAGTATTTTTAAAAGCTTCTTAAGCACCTAAAAATGGTTATGCACTACAAAGGATGCCAGTGTATTTGACTTTTCCTTCTAAATCCACCCATCTATCAAAACTGCAGGTAGCTCTGGATTAAGAGAAGCATGAGAACATCTACTTGGCTAATGTTTCTCCAATGCACCAGCAGGTGGCATCATGCACCCAATTCTTGATGGCTTGTGTCAGCCTATTGGTGACTGATTGCTGCCCTGGGCGCTCTGCCTTCCCCCCCCCCCGTTTCCACCCTCCCCTGTGCTTGCAGATGGCTTAATCATGACTACTGTTCCCTCCCCCTCCTCCTCCCCCTTGGTACTTCTGGGATAATGCTGCTAACATTCAGCCAGCCAGTCAAGTGTTACAGCACAGAGCAGGTAGCCTGGCAACTGAGAGTATAATACCGAACAGATGGTGTTCATACAGCATGATGGACATCACACACAGCAGCCTGAGACAATCCAGGAATTCTCCGGTGGTTTGAGGCCTCTTTACACAAAAAACGTGCTTGCCAGCAGCTTTGGGAATAATTTCCACCCTCCAATCTGACACTGAACCACTGAAATGATTTCTTATTATTTCTGTTTTGCTAACTGCATGGAAGGGACAGCAGTCTGGTGGCAGGTGAGATGACAGATGGAGGGCGGAACTCAGGGTATTGTGAATTAATAAAACCTTATGTTAGGCATAGGCAGAGAAAGGTTGTTCAGAACAACATATTTGGGAATGTTTGTGTGAGGGTGTTCTTCTGGTGGCAGCTGGGGGAAATTGTACAATGCATCAGCTCCTTCCTGAGCAGCACTCTGGCCATTCATTACCACATGATTATAGCAGAAGTGCTCATAGCATAAACTCACGGAATGTTTTGGTGACGGAAGGGCCAGCTCTGAATGCTTCCACATCTCTCCCCCTTTTTCCTCCCAAACAAAGAATCAACTCTTCTGCCACTGCTGAGAGCTGCAAGCACGCCACTGAAGCAACATTACCCTGGCTCAGCTTCCCAATTCAACACAGTGCTTGCTAAGGAGACTCCTGACACTTCTTCCAGAAAGCATGTTGCTCTTTATTAATGAGCTCAGGAAGCGAAGATGTACCAGGCTGTCACATTTCTAACCCTGAACAATGCATAATTTGTGACTGTGGTGGGACTGGGAAGGAAGAGCAGAAAAACACAATAAGTGATATTTTTCTGGAGGAAAGAGGTGAAGGTAAGGAAAGGCTACAAAGGCTAATGGAAGAGGTTTCTTACAAAGGCAAAAGCATTCATAGTCTCAGGTATGCAAATCTGTGCTCCAGAATGATGAGAAGAATAAACAGTTGAATTATTTAACCTTTCTATCCACGCACATCTTCCCTTTTCCCCAGTTTTATTCCCCAGAGCTACCTGCCCCACCTTCCCCCCCCCCCCCCCCCCGCGGGGTGTTTTTGGGGGGGGGGGGGGGGAAG